GTAGGAAAAAACATACTCATCATGATATATGGGATTGATACCTTCACCTCTCTGAATCGTGTGTAGTTGTAGTAGTAGTAGTGCTACACCCTAACATTAAAGTATTAGTGATTATTGAAAGCAAGGATTCAGTTCTACCAGTAGGTTGTCGAATATCACTAACAAAATTTTAATATAGCAAAGGGATGTTCACTTTTAACTATAACTGCATTCAATAAAGGGGATTAGCTACTCGTGTGTGATGATCACCTAAGTGACACAGAATGTTAGTAAAATTAGGCACAATAAAAATCTCATGTAGCATCAAAAAATAAAATACATCTTCTACAATAGTTTCATGAGAAAATTAAGCAGGGACAAATATTAAATACATTGCTTCAATGTTTTTCTGAATGCGTCGGTGGTTCAGAGGCATAACGCTCACCAACCACGCAGGTGGTTCGAGGTTCGATCCCCGGCCGACGCACTACTAGAACTCGCTAAGCCGGTGATGAGACTTGTAAAGAGGGAAGGTTGGGAGTGTGTGTGTGTAACCCCACTCCGTAAAAATAAAATCGCTGCTACTGAAACCTCAAAGCTCTAGCTTGAAGCCCCATGTCCCACTGGGAACATAAAGGAATAAAATAAATAGATAAGTAATAATATTTTTCTGAATAATTATTTAAACGCAGTAAATAAAAGGGAAGAAAAACTATTCTCTTCGAGACTATGATCACAATTACGCACAGATTCTAGAAGTTTGAGGATATCATTTATATACATCATAGCAACAGATTTTCAAAGTTTACTGAGTCAATAGTACTTCAACTGGTGTTGAAGGTCCATTATGGATAAGATTTTATTTTGATAAATCAACTTGATATGATTATGAGCAATAGTTTATGCTCGAAACTTCATCAGTTATCATTACTGTACAACACTGTGATTTATAAAAATAAAATCCCATCAATAATGAAGTTATGCTCTACCACAGTGCCCAAGTTTTATACTTATATCAATAATACATATGGTGTTGAAGGTCTTGTCATTATTTTGATGATAACGTGATTTGAGGACTGAAAATGAGACTTTAATATTTACTGTGCTATAAAATTGACGTCATATAAAACTTGTCAGCTAAATTGTGTGCACTTCCTACTTAGACTCGAGTGACAATGACGCGAATTCTTGATTTCTAAACCAATATCTCTAATAGTTAACTTCACAACATACAGTTACTCAAAATTAACAAGAAACTTAAATGATGGGACTCAAGATTTATGGATTATTAATTTAGAACACACCGACTCTAAAAATTCATCATTTTCCATATTTAATTTAACAAACTGTTTACTTAAGTATCACATGAAATTATACGAAATAAATATTCCGACACAAATATTTGCCCAACAAGCGTGAATAACTAGTTACAGCACTTAACATTCAAGCAACAGATCCAGAACTTAAGGACCGTCTGACTTGAATTTAACGCGAGTAACTAGGATGGCATAAAAAGCTCTTGAACATGAATGTAGTGTGTAGTATGATACAAGTCAGATGATACACTTGATAAAAGTATAACAAAGTATAATGCCTATTGAACCTAAAAGTTAAAATATAAAAATACGCATATAATACAGAAAGATACCAACAATTATAAACAATTAATTCATGATGTTTTGATAAATTTATTATCAGACTTAACAAGTAGTATTGTATATATAGGAACATAATTAGGCAATTAGGAATGCTTATTCATTTAATGATGAATAGCAAATGAAATGAACAGGTAAATACTAAAATGTTTTGTGTATGAACGAAAAACTTTAACAATAAACACTTATATTACAATGACGTCTTAACCGAAAATACAATCTATTGAGATATCTAAAATGTACTTAATGTTTCGAAGGTGTTTTGTCAAAACGCGACGTTATACGTGTATAAATATGACTGTTTGAAATGAGAAATACTTTCAACTTTCTAAAAGCTTTGTGAAAAGTTGGGATAATCTTTGTTTCAGAAAAACTAAGAATTAATTAATTCTAAATTTCATCTAAGAAGAAGAAGTGCTAAAGGAGAAGAATAACTAATAAGTTTATTACAATAACTTTACCGTTGTAGTGAGTCGATATGAAAAAGTGAAAATTATAACTACAGAATTAGAAAGCATTTTACAGAGAGAAAACTGTTGAGGATCAGTAGTGCTGATACTACGATAAACTACAAATGTGAACTCGAGTGATTAAAAAGTAATGTACTGGTAACTCCAATGATTGCATTATTTAAACTCTTTGAAAACGTATTTTCCAAGGCTGAACAATGTGAACACTTCACGAGTACCACCTTGCAAATCGCCATCAGATAAAAGCAGGAAAAGAACACAGAACTGTGAACGATCTAAGATTAGTGTTTGCCTCAAATAATTAACACGATGTACCTAGGCCTCGGGCGAACTTATTTTTTTCCGGAAATCAAAATTAAAATCAAATGATGCCTCTCTGAGATTATGTCTTGCATAAAAGTAGTTCAAATGCCTGAGTAGATTAACAATTTTAGCTGCAGATATGTCTTGCTAATAATAGCCAACAAGTAAGAAACTTATATAGGATAGGACCTCTTCATGTTTGATCATAATAATAATAATAATAAAGCCTTATTTCAGACAATAAGCGAACATATAGTACAAAACTTTTCAGCTTATGTAGTTCCAAAATACATTTTACTTCATACAGGATTTACATGTAAATTAATAATTTGAAGTATACCTTCATTTCGTCGAAGAATTGCACAGCGTTTACTTGGAAGCAAGTTAAATCAGCGCACAAGTTCATGTATAGTTCATTTGATATAACTGAACGATTAAAACAACTATAAATTCAGATGAAAAGCGTCTCCGGTAGCCCAGTGATTTAAGCAGACCACCCTTATTCGCAACACGACAGTGAGTTTTCTATATCAGTAGTCAAATTGAAAAACTAGTCAATAGAATTCGGTCAGCAATTTTAACTATATAACATGAAGTCGACTACTCTTCAATGACCAATAGACGATAATTGGGCCATTTAATTAGGAAAGAATAGATCATCGAAACAATTATTCAAAGGACTGAAAAACACAACTTGAGTGATGTCAATTCAATTTCAAAAGTCAACTGAATCACAATCTTGGAAAACTAACCAATCTATATAAGTATGCTACTATGGATACAAATTTAGTAACCAATTATTGTGTGGTATATATATCAAATAAAAGTGATGAAATCTCAGATTAACAGAGTACTAAACAGGCTGGAATTATTGAAATATGAAAAGATTTACAAATAAAGTATCACGATATCGCACTATATGAGTATCCAATATTGAGAAAAAAATCCCGGAAGTTACCAAGTTAGTACTTTTATTTGTAAATACGATATTTTACACAAAATATGTTGCGAAAACAAAAAGAAATAAGTTAACATAGAAATTACCATCGGACCTATTCACTACAACTAATCTTTAGTATTTTCTATTGTAATTACTAAGAATTTCAATAATAAGTTCAATAATTTGGAAGAAAGTAATCTACACTATTGCTGTCAACGCTACAACGATAACTACATATTCACGAAAAAGCAGCCAAACCTTAGGGCAACAAAGTATTTGTTACACTATTTATATCTTTTACCTGTTTGATAATTAATCGGTTAAATGACAAAACCCCTCTTTGCACTGATGCATTATTGATTAGATGAATTATCACACGGTTGTTTTGATATTTGAAGGGAACTACAGGCAAAAATGACGCCATCTTATTAACATGCAAGAAAACTCTTGAAGAATATTTCAACTAATTCCCATCTATGTTTCAGTTGACTAGAAACCAGTTTGATGGGTCATCTCCAAAGTTTGTTTTGCAGAGTGGAAAAAAGCACCAAACAGGCTGAATAGGACTTAGGGTGTATTATAATAATGACGCCTTTCAATGGCCTCATTGATTGACTGGACCAATTTGTAGGGGAGAATGTAAAAATTCTACAAAGTTTTCAGCTTGACTAATATAATACCTCGAGTATGGTTCAGTCATTCTCACGTGTAATTAATGAACAGATGAATTGAATCTGAAAGGACCATATTCGTTTGCAGTTCTCAAACTGCATTTCTCGGCGTGAAGTAGGAGTTCTATTTCTTTGACAGAGTGGTTTCATCAAAGTTATTTTCTTTTGAATAAAATAGTAACTAAATAAATAAAGTTGTCATGAACACTATTTAAATTTTCCGAAGTATAAGAATAATTTACGTATATACAAATATCAGAATTTGTAATCTGATAATGGCTAATATCACCATTTTCCTCTTCAGTTTAACTTTTTTTATTAGTAATAATGGCTTTATTTCAAATAGCACTTTTGATACAATGTGGAATTTTCAGCATGTAATACAATATTGCACCTAATATTCTCTTTACTTTACACAGTACAGGGGAAATAATTAATAGGGAATTGTTCAATAAGAATATGAATGTAAAATTAAAATTTCAGAGGAAATATTAACAACAACATATTAATAAAAGAAAGAATAAAAAAGGCTGTTAACTTAGTGTTTTTCAGTAAATTAATAGTGTCACGACATACACCTTTCTCATCACACAAAATGCGTACCAAATAAGGTATCATAAGTTTTTTATACTTAGTCGTCCGAGCATAAAGTCTTTTATAGTTACTTTTAGTCAAACCTGGTGAAATGCAAGGAGAGTTGTGTATAGAGAGTAGTAGTAGTTTCGTTACTCTCTACTTTCTTTTCTGGGAAAAGGTTACAATAAAGGTCCACAAAGTTCAGGTAGAGATATTCTGTAAATATTCATGAGAAATAAGACGGAGTCACTTCCTAATAAACAGTATAGTGGATGGATCCTAAAGTAACTTTAAAGTCTTTGTTCACAAATACACGTATTGATGGAATAACGAAAATTGCCGTAATAAATACTTAGTTACATATCAATGTATTTTGGTTACTAATACTTTCTTACAATTTACTTACTTCAGGACTGTTAATTTTTCTCATAAATTCTTCATCTGGCTTCCCCAATAGATTCAAAATTAATTGAATTTGATGAATATGATTACCACCCTTGAATAAAGGTGCTCGATTTCGGAGTTCAGCCATAATACATGCAACGGACCAAACATCCACTACATAAAAAGAAAATATATTTACACAGAGTTAAATTTGTAATACTCTGCATAATTTTTTTACTGATACTCCATGTCAAGAATAAATAAATAGTGGGTACGCAAAGACTAACAACTGTCATATAATTAATATGTTCCCAACAAGCTTCCCACCATAACTTTAGCGTTTTGTTACCCTACAATACTTGTTTGTTTGCTGGGAGCGGATACAAACGGTCTTTATGGGATTTGAAAGCTTGCGTCATCCTTGGAGCAGGCGAGATGTTTAGTTACCTAGTCAACGAACAACATACTTGGTAGAAGCTTTCGTCGTTCTACTTTGAAGCTGAAACATGAAAATACTACAGAAGTCGTGATTTAAATGTTCACGTTAGGAGAAGCGGCATGGCGGCATATACTAATGAAACTAGAGCTTTATGTAAAAAAGTAGTTCAATAGATAAATTGATGAATCTTATTCGAATGAGACTGCTGGGACATATGTTATGCATGTCGAGCCACTGTCTTTCTTGACAGGCGATGTTGTCTCTATTATGATTACTTTGAAAGAGAGCCAGAGATGCCAGGACTCAAACATGGTACCGGTCCATGTAGTTAGCATCTTTTAGAATGAGCCACAGATGTAGGTGTAGGATGTCTAGCTGATGTCCCCAATATGATAGGAACCAGTGACTGAGAAATCCTTGTAACACGGTTCAAAACTATTTACCTTGGCTATCTATATATATATATATATATAAAACATCTCTACTCATTAAATAATGGTTTTTCCGACACGTTGGTTTTGTTGTGGTATCACGATATTTCTACTTTCTTGAGCTACACATGCAGCAACTTCAATTAATGCATACTTGTGCGAACTTATACACTGATCTGTCAATCGACCATTTGTACCCTGCCAATTAACGTTTATCTTGTTTATTTTAATACATATTGTCTACTAAATTATTTGTTTCGTGATATGAATCTTAGCAACCTGAGTAGACGAAATTAAACTTTGATTTTAAAGAGTATCCAGTTATCTTATTTTACTATGAAACCATCTAATCTGTTTATGTTATTACATGTTGAATAACTGAATTCAAATTTAATTCTCACTTGAATGTTTTGTTGTGAAAATAAGCACGATGTAAATATGCGGAATGCATACAAATGTCATTATATGTGCTTCACTACAAGTAGGATTTTCTATCATTTGGATCTTAAAAGGATATACGCCATTTATTTAGGTTGTCTATCCCCATTCTACACGACTACCATCATTTCAATGCAATCAGCATTTTAAGAAATTAGCAATGCCACTACAAAATGAATACTTTAAACTATCTCTTCATATATCTAACAACAAATCATTCTTTATAACATTTTAAAAATGATTATGAAGATTAATCAACACAAGCTGTTGTTGGACAATAAATTAACAACAAATTCAATTTCATTTTTCACAGATAATTCAATCATATCAGATCACACAATGGATAATAGAAATGTAGTTCCATAGAAGTAACACAAAACGAAATTACTAACACGTAACTGAAATACTGTAAAAGCAGAAGGCAACATACGGAAGTAAAAGTGTCTTTTCAATTGATGAAGCCGCTATTTATATTATTACTATTATTCCCATCGGTTCCGTGTTGAACATAAAAATTCAGCGACACATCCTCACCTTGTTCTATTTGGTGCTGTCCTCTTCAGCTGTCTGCGCCCACGATCACCCATAATCTCTCATCACATTATCGCACTATCTCCTCCATATCACTCTGGAGGCGACGACCCACTCGTCGCTTCCCATTCAGCTCTCAGTAGAGCAGTGGCCTTCTCAACGTATATTCGACTCATCTCCATTTTCTCCTACGCATTTGTTGAGCGATTTGCTTTTGGCTGGTTTGTTTTCAGGGTTTCTTGTAGCTTATTCCTTCTGACAGGCCATCTGATCTTCAGTATGGAGCCAACGAAAACAGCTGTTGATGAAAGTCTGTAGCTTGTTGGAAATGCTTTTCGTGACACACAGGCCAAGTTTTTGACTTGTATAGAAGAACTGACTGACTTTACATTCGTGTTGATAATTCGAATCTCGTCCTTTACACTTGCTGAGTGCTGAAGATTTCCTAACTGGCTTCAGGTCGATGAAGGAGTGTCTTGCCCTTCCAATTCTGGCTGGGTTTGAGATCTTCACCCGTGGTTGAAACCGTGCTTCCTAGATAAGTGAAGGAAGTAACCTCTATCAAATCTCTCCCGATCATGGTTGCCGTTGTTTGGTTATTTTTATCACCTCCTGCTTTTCTCTGTTCACCTGCAGTCCTGTCCTTGCTGCTCTTCAGCTAGTTTGTTGGTTTGTATACACAATTTATATTCTTTTAAACAATCACTGAACTCGTTATTTTTGCTGGCATTAACCGACATGAAGTAGAATGCTCAAAAATATATATAGTATTTTGTTGCTAATGCTAACAAATACAATGCAGTATTAAACTGTGGGAACAGTATTCTCACACTAAAAACAACAACAAATATTAAAATGCACTGTTAAACTGTAGGTATAGTATTCAGACGGTAACATCAACAAATACAACGACTCTTACAGTGAGAATAATATTCCGTTGGAACACTTTGTCTGTATCACACCACGACAATCCCACTACTAAGGCTGGCAAATAATTACAGAACATAAGGAGTAACAGTGTTCGTTTAGAGCGTGAGTGAGGTAGGAGGATAGGTAGTTTGCACGGCACGAAATCAACAATAACAGTAGGAAATTATGAGTATTTCAGAGAATCAGAATATATTTAATTACCCCACAATGGAAATATAACAGATGTAGTATTTGAGAGATAACAGTCTTGCATAACTTAGTCTGAATTAAAGGTTAGATTGGGATAACTGCAAGTCGATATGAATAAATAGGCAATTGCTACCCTTTGTAATCTACTACCATTTGAATTAGTATGAGAAGAACTGAAGGAACTTATAGTTATGTAATGATAACTTACACGACTCTAAAGAAAAGCTATCGGTTATTAAATCAAATTCGAAATACAGCAGAAGGCAGATCTCGTAACTCAGTCAGTAGAGCATCAAGTCTGGAAATACGAGGTCGCTAGTTCAAATCCTATCTCTGCCTTGGTTTTCTTTGGAACTTTGTTAAAATAACTTCAGGCAATCTTTCAAGTTATCTAAACATTAGGCGTATTTTTCACGTAATCTGTTAATGAAGTACATGTCCTTCAATTTAAGAATACCCACTGTTACTTCTTCTCAATTAAGTATATATGATAAGTTGATTCCCAGTAGATAGATAATATCACTTTGTAAAAAACACTTAGAAAGCATTCAAGAAGAATTTTTTAAATAAAGAGTAGATGATATATTTACCAGATTCATTGTAATGCATCCAGTTTAGCATTACTTCGGGAGCTCGGTACCAGCGAGTTGCGACATAGCCAGTCATCTCTTCCTGTTTTTGACGTGCCAAGCCAAAGTCAAGAATTTTCAACTCGCAGTCTTCATTTACTGCGATATTAGCTGGCTTCAAGTCTCGATGAATCAGACCAATACTGTGCATATACTGAGAAGCGGCAAAGAATATAGGGGGGAAAAATATGATAATCCTTGGTGGAATAACTAATAACCAGATCAAGTGAAAATAGAATAGTAGATCAGCTTATACAGTATACTAATGATTCGATAACTTGTATGTCTGAATGTCCACACACTAGTAGCATGATATTCTTATAACCAATATTCTGGCATAACTGAGTGATTTACTCAACAATAATGTAAGTCAACTCTACGAAATTTTGAAATTCGGATACATTATCGCCCCACACAAAAATGAAAATTGTAAAAAGCTGTAACAAATTATCGTTCATACGAGATGTTGGATATCTGTGGAATTCACAGTGAATGCACCACTAAGCACAATTATTCCAAGAGATCACTATATATTCCTACATGTCTCAACACTGACATATAAGTACTGTGTGTAATATCAGTAATTTTCTCGCATTGGCTGGAAGTAGAGTGCTTAAGCCAATAAGCCACAACTCCATTCAAAGACAAATAATAAGCACTGTTATCACCACTTAGGACTGAATATACAGGGGAGAGAGAATACATAAAAGATTATGAGATTAAATATATCATATGCTAACTCAGTTAGTGGAAAGTGACATGCCCAAAACCAAATTCTAAAAGGGCTTGATAACGACATCCTATTGGCACATTCAAATGATACGGAGTTTTAGCGCTTACTGTAGCTGTAAGAGGTTTAGGTAGTAAACTGCCAGTCGATGGATTACATGCATAAAGCCACAAAACTAATTGAAACTCTGTGATGATGTAATAACACCATCCCCTACTAAGCATCTTTTAGACAGAGTCTAGCTCAATGAATCGACTATTCTCAAATTAGGAAAAATTAGAATTTTTGGTGTGATTGTTTTTTCTGAGTTGATTGGTTCAATTATGAATGCTTCATTGTCCTTCCAAAACCATATCTTCAACGTTTACTTTAATGTTCATATTGTCGAATTCTCATTTGACAATGAAGTGTTGAAGATGTTGTTTAAACGTTTAGTGAAAGCTTCGTAATTAAACCATTCAGCTCAGAGAACACAATCACATTCAATTGAGTTACAAATCTCCACTATTTCAAATATTAGAATTGATCTAACAGGAGTTTAAACGCGACAGCAACAGCAACGTTCTTAGTGAATTTCAAAAAAAACAAAAGTTGTTTGAAACTCAGGCGATACCAGGCTATTAGCCTCACTTATTGTGTGATAGATAATGATACTACCCAGTTAGGTAAGCTGAAGTAGATGGAGCGAGGTTAGAACCTGGGAACTATTATCCGGAAGTCAATTGCGAAAGTGAATAAGCCACATATTTACACAAAATATAGGGAATCCACACAGTATATTTTTAGTACGTTATTGATAATTACACTAATAAACTAGTCGTTACAAGTGCCTCTGAACACCAAATAATAGTCACAAATAACCTAGAACTGTTTTTCACTCAGCATTCTCATATTATAAACTAAGCGAATGTATCAATGGAAAGTTGTTACACTGAAGACCACAATGACTTCTCTGTTTTTCAGAAATATCACATTTCGGAAACAGACACCAGTCTCTGTTTAATTTCCATTTGATTTAGTATACCTTCTGGAGACGGTAATAACTTCCAGATAATTTGTTAGACAGTTTAGACAAATTCACTTTTAATTTAAAGCATGCTTTTAATACAGTTACACTGTACTGTTCTCTGTTTTGGGCCAGAATTTAGAGGAAGGACATATCAATAACTTAATTTAATATGATATTCCAGAATGCCTGTGAACAAATCTGTGGTGGAAATTGAATAAATTGTCCGTAAGTCATAAGTAAATCCAAATGATCTATAAGTGGAGATTATTATGCCGAAGGCAAAGAGGGAAAATCAATAGAAGAGGCTATATAGTTACATAGATTGAGATGGTTAGGTCACGTGCTGCGCATGCCTAGCCATCGCCTCCCCCGGCGGGCATTACTAGCTGATATAGGTGCAGGTTGGAAAAGAGTAAGTGGTGGCCAAACAAAAACATGGCATCAATCCATGAAATCCTTGACAGTTAAACTGAGTCAGTCAGGTAGGGAGATGCAGACTTCCGGGTTGGGGCCCTCGAGACTCTAAGAATCAATGGCTGGAGACAATAGGTGACATGGCTCAAAATCGTTGTCTCTGTAAACTTCCATATTCCTTTCTACCATTACTCATTCTGTTTCACTCTTATACTTGTCAAAACTCCATTGATTCCCTTCACTCATTTTCTTGTCTACCTTTGTGTGCTCTTTGGAACGTGGCAACTCGAACGGCTGTACTTCGGTGCCAAGTTCTATGTTGAATCCAGCCAGCCAGCCATTATGCCGAACCCATTATAAAGTGGTGTACCGTTTATTATTTTTTATTATTATTATTATTACTGTTATTGTAACCATTATTATTTTCGAGTGTTAGCTTGCAGGGACTTATTAGTCTCAAGTTAGATGGCAAACTGTCATCAGTAAGTAAACCAGGTAGTATTGGACAGCTGTTTCGTCCTAGTCTGAGACTCACCAGTAGTGCGCACCTAGTACGCACATTATTGTTATTGTCAAAACCAAACATCTGACATGCGAAATGGTAAAATACACGTTGTTCAAACAATTTTACCACACAACAACGAAAAAATGTGTACGTTTGACTTACTTTTAAACCCCTCAAAATTTGATATACAAGAAATCGTATTTGTTCATCTGATAACGATTGAGTTTCAATTATGGCTCCAAGATCAGCACCCATTAACGGCGTGACCAGATAACTAAAAATAAACAATTGTCATTTCTACAGTAATATCATTCAGCTAAATATCAAGCTATCAACTTACAGGCATGCTGAAGATTGTGACAGAAGTTATTTATCCACAATGAAACTATACAACGCACAATGTAATACACAACTAGTTGAACGAGCAAAGTGAAGTGAAAACAATTTTTTATTAGTATAAACTCCATTAAGTTTCAGCAACCTCAAGCAGATTAAGAAAAGCCTCTAAAAATGCACACAAGCCTAAAAAGTACAGCTCAGATATGTTTCATTATATATATATATATATATATATATAAAGCTGCATCAACGTATTCTTCACCAAGGTGAACACAATTTTCTAATTATACACAACTGCTGAAGATTTTCAACATTGCAAAGTGGAATGCAACTTTGAAGACTTTAACTTATAGTATTTACAAGCTCGAATCAATAGAAAATGAATTAAGATTTAAGTAGAGTACCACGTGACGTTTTCTATAGAAAATCTACAGTTTACACTATAAAACAATGTCAAGGTGGATTATATTTAGTGTTGACCACACCAAGAGATTGTCAAGTGACAGAATCAACACACAATACTTTATTCTAAAATTCAAACAATTTAATTTAACTGAGAAAATAAAAAAGAGGAAAGCGTCACATCACATTAAAAATACTTTGCCGCAAGCTTTTTACTTACATATCTGTAAAATCTTTCAATGATGTTTGTGGTGAAAAGGCGTCAATTAAACAAACAATCTTAATAGACAAAAAAACAAAACAATGAATGGAAAAAGTAAACGGAGTAGAGAAAAAACCTAGTTTATTATTAGAAAACAGCAACTTGAAATTTACATACTTAGAAGTATTTTTCTACTAAAATGAAATCTACTTGAAAATATTTACAGTTTCACAATTTCAAGTATTAATAAAATAATAAGATGTTGCTAATTAACTTCCAATAAGAACATTGAATTATTTTCATCTACGGGATTCTAGTCAGCACAGAAGTACAACTGGTAATCAAAACACAAGCATGATTTCAATCTTAGTACACAAATTTTCATATAGTCTCAAGGAATAAGAACTGAAGAAGAAAAGTTTTTGCTCCATTTGCTAGTGATGTGACTTCCTACGATTCGCAATTTGTTATGCAACACAATCTTGTCTTACTTTCAATACATTATTTTGTAAACTAGGAGAACAAAGATATATGTCATAAGTCGAATCTAAAAATATCAACAAATCTCTAACGAATTGTGACAAGGATTAAAACTTTTTAAATTCATTCACGTTCCCAGTGGAACATAGGGCTTCAAGCGGTCGGTTGGTTTTCGACATAGAACTTTGCACATATGTGCAGCAGTTCAAGTCGCCACACTCCATGTAGCACACAAAGGAAGAGAAGAAAGTAGAAATGCATAATATAGTTAGTAAACAGAGGTGTGAGACAAAGGAATAGTAATAGCGGAGAACAGTTTAATTGGAAATCATAAGTCACAAGTAGTGGATGCATCTGCGCCACTGAGAACGATTTTGAGCCATGTCACCAATTGTTTCCAACCATTGGTTTTTACTGTCTCGAGGACCCCAACCAGGAAGTCTACATCTTCCTACGTGGCTTAGACTGACTGTTGTGGATTTCATTGACTGGTGCCATGTTTTCGTTTGACCGCCGCTAGCTCTTCAAGCTAGAGGCTTGGAGTTTCTGCAGCAGTAGTGTTTACGGGAAGGGGTTGGTAGCCATCCTTCTCTACAGGTCTAATCACGGGCTTAGCGAGTTCTGGGAGTTCGTCGGCTGGGGATCGAACCCCAAATCACCTGCGTGGTTGGCGAGCATTCTACCACTGTGCTACCGATGCATCTTAAAAAAATTTTTCAAAAAGAGCTGCCATGATGATTACTGCCAACGAAGTATTAACGTCAAGATAGAATGTATGTGCCTTAAGTTCGTTTCATCAACAAAACGATTTACCACCAAAATACTACTATGGTATCTGATTTCAGACTTCTTGAAATCCATAAAGTTAGAAACTTTATCTATACAACGGTTCACTAGTGGTCTAAGTGTTCAACTTTTAACTCGAGGGTCAATGGCTGGAATTCTAACCCTCCAATGGATGTCTAGGAAGTTAAATAACAAAATCAGCTCCAGCAAAACAACTTTGACTTATTACCTGGTGTACAATTTTGAGTCAGGTTTCCAAATCTTAAATTAGGCTGTATGTATTTAAAAAAGGCAGGACAGTAAAACATAAAATCCCTATTTTAGTGCTTTTCCCGCTTTCCCAATAATCCCTCTGGTTTTGCCCCTCTATTCAACGGTTTCTTCATTAATTTACATTCTGTAATTTAACTGTTTGCCTTAAAAACGTTCTGAAAACTACAACTACAGTCTGAAACTAAAACAAAATAGCTATCCATAGCTTTTCGTTTTTATCTGCTCTTTACCTAATGCCATTAGCGATGACATTCAATTATATTAAAGAATTTAAAAACCTATGTGTGTTTCTTCAAGCCGTTAATAACTGGATGAAGAAACCCAGAATAATGAGGACTTACACTATTGCTTTATTTGCTAATCTCAATCTATTTAAATGTATTAAAAGAACTAAATGAACCGATTACAATGCAATTTGCACCAAGGCAGGCAATATTTGTCACCTAGGGTTCAAGTATGTGACGATTCGTGATTTCACACTTATTTGGTAAAACTACGCATATGACGACTGCTTTTTTAGTGTGTACATCCAGTGTGATAGCAAGGCAGAAATGAACATTTTGCCAGGATAAGTATCATGAGGGCCATAAGCGTCACGCTAACTGCAAATGAGAAATGACCACTAATCAATAATCCAATTACCCTTTTTCTGTAGACAAAACAAATTACCAATTTCCCATTACAATATGTCGAAATACTTTGTTCGTAAAACTTACATTTTCATGATCCATTTGAGACAAGATGTTAATTTCTCTGTATGTTCGCTTTGTATATTCAATATTTTCAAAAGGTCTACTCAATTTTTTAATAGCCACTCGGCGGTTTAATCGGGTATCATGGGCAGAGCTGTATTATATCGTTAGAAATTAGAAATCGAACAAGTTAGTAAAATTTATAATGCGAAATATTCACCCACTGCACAAAAAGTAATTCAAGAGAAATTGGACTGATGACTTATTCAAATATCAAAAAGAGAGGAATCGTCATTTCAATTATATGCAACTTTGTTTACAGGTTATGGATAACGTCCATCGAATGAAAAGTATCAACATAATAACGGCGCCATTTATCCTAATTGGACTATAGCTCAAAGCATCCCTTTGTTTTATACGCAACTGTAAAATAACAGCATAATATGCAGTGATGAGTGCAAAATCTATGCAGACTAAGTGGATATTATCCAGGGATAACAGTCTTACGGTGCAGGACTAAATGCTTGATATTCTCCGAAGTAAAAACTACATCATGAATGTTTTACTGTTACATTCAGAAAAATTGTCAGCAATGACTGGTCTGTTTAGTCAGTGAAATTAGTATTGATGAGGTCATGAAGTCTGATGGTCAAATGTTACGGCTCGGATACTTTCAGACACATGAAAATTGCAGAACATAGAAATATTACGACGCAAAACCTTACTATTTTTTAAGAATGTATGTAAATACGTACAAATATAAATGTACCACTGTTTCACATACGCTAAAAACATACCAAACAGTACCATAAGCACCATATCCTATCATTGAAAGTTCTTTGTATCTGGACGGAACACACCATTCCACCTGATTAAGCTGCAGTGACACGAACCCTGACTTGCAAGTTTTAGCGGAAGACATTTGTCTGAAAGATAATAGAGGCTTCATAGTCAAAGAATTACATTTATAATGATCTTATGAAATGGAGAGAGTGACAGCAAACAAGAAAGTGTGTGCGATGAAAAACATCTTATTACAGCGACAAAATAACGGGTTTTGAACGTTCGACAGCAAATACAAAGTATTGGAAAATCTTGGGGATTCTGAAATTCAGCCACAGTAACCAGAAATCGAGGACTATAGCTTCTGGCTGGCTTATTAGAAACATTTTAACTGACTCATACAGTTGAGCTGTAACATTTTACTCACTGATAAGGACTACTGATTCGCTTATCTGTATATCTATATATTTTTCCTGGTCTTATATAGTTGTATTTTGAAGGTTTGAAGAGGAACTGCCCAAAACTTCGTATCTATTCCTAACAATGGCGTTAATTCTGCGGATGCACGATAAGCTCCCATTAATAAAACAACAAAGTGGAACCAGAGGTCTTAGTCTTTAGAATGATATGTAAAACCTGGTGTAGTGAACTGACGCACGTGTATCGATATGGTAATTTCAAACACCAAGAAATAACACAACAATCAACCAGTTCGATTTCCCAAACGGTTGACAATTATACCATCAAGTGATTCACATCAGTGATTTGTGTTTCTACAACTAAGATATTACACCGAAATTCACTAGTGAGATTATATAACAGCTTCTCTGATGTGCTTTGTTTTTCTGTGACTATGCAATGGTTGTAATCTCAAACATTTCTTTCACAGATGACGACTGTGGTAACAAACAGAACAACTTATTACCTAAAAGTCATGACCAGTAGGGTGCATCAGGTCGGGTGTAAGGACAAATACTCGCTGAATACATTGGCTAGTGGTCGCGCTATGTCGTTGGATCGGGTCCTGGTGGCTTAATAGTCTACGAGCTCGCTAGCCTTGTAACCAGATGGCCCTGTGTTCGAACCCCGGTGGGTGCGTACTATGAAGAGTCCCAGACTAGGACGAAACAGTCGTCTAGTACTCACAGGTGTCCCAATGGTTCTTCAACAGATGTCAGCTTATGATGAAATCCTGTAACCAATTAGCTAAAAGTTTTCGAAACATAACAAGAAAAAGTAGCGTATAGCAATGGAACGTAAAAGAAACTATAAATAAATGTGGTGGAAGAATAGCGAACTTCATTTTCCTACACATACAGAGCATTCGATTGCCTTAAGATGTTGGATCTGCGAACGTCGATACCTTCAGCCTCCAAAGATCAAATGCCCTGCCTTCCCAAAATGGAACCACCGTCATGGAAAATTTCAAGTGCGATCCACTGAATACATAAGAAAACTGTACACGTAAATATCGATAGCTTAAAAGACAAAATTTACTATACTATACTATACTAGAGCCACACTTTTCTTCCCAGTGGATATTTACAAAATGTCTGGCTCTGTACAAATAAATAGTAATTTATTTCATATCACGGATTTTCCAATTTTTCAGGTACTAGCTACTGGGGGCTAAAAACCAAAAGGATTAAAACGATTTAAATGACTTGGTTAGATCATTTTAAATCCTGCACTTTCCTTGGCCACCACTACACCGGTTAATTGTACGTCTGTTTGGAAGACACATATTTTAACTCGTACATGTGATGTTAATAATATGATTTGCAATGAAACCCAACATTCAAGTATGTTTGCACAAACTATACTATGGTAACTTGCACTGGACGACCATAAAAATCCTAATGGTTGAGGATAAAAGTAACTGGCTAGTTCAGCTGCGAGCAGATCTGCGTTGAGTGTTCAGCAAATACCAAGACAAGTTAACACCATGTTCTGACGGTTAAATAGATGAAGCATGAGAAAAAAGGTTATTTTTAGGTGCTGATTTTAATTGAATAACATCACGCATCCACATAAGCCTTGAGTACTTTTTTCGTTCAAATTATTCTTTAACGATTTTACCTGAACTTTAGTACAAGTGCTGGATTGTGACTGATGCATACAAGTGGAACACGCAAACTAATTCGGATATGTACTTTTCATAGTCTCTTCAGTTTATGCGAAAACACTAAGCCTAAGAGTCTCGACAGGAACGCAAAAGTTAAACTCTTTCTGAAGAAACAGTTTGTTGTATGTCTTAAGTTGTCTCTAACGACGACAGAATCGAAGTATACACTTCGACTTGTTTGATTCAGAAACTTTTTCACGATGTGTTACAGTAACATAACGTCACTGAACATAGAATACAGATATATATCAGTGAAAACAATAAACTAAGATAAAACCTACCGAAAAACAAAGTACCCTAGTTAAATCAATTGACCTTCGTAAATCAAAACTCCCTCGTACTCACGTATCCGATATTCAATAATTTTATTTCAGATTGTACTGAGGGAATTAATTGTCACGTTCTGTTAAAATTTCGCTTAGAAATTTTTCCCAATAACTTTTAATAAAATTGGGTTACAAGTTATCTGGATTGATTGATGGTAATTCCCATTTTCTGGCCAGTTATGTTGGTGTCCGCGTCATGTGATCTGACTGCGACACACTCATAGCATTTTGGCTGCAACGATTAGTGTTTCAGGCGGACTGTATCAAAATATCGCTTTAATGGGGAAGATAGGATAGTTGGAGGGTAATGTCATCTACACAACTAGTCTACCTTATTTAGAAGCTGCACCTTTCGGCATTGTGTCATTCAATGAAGACTTCACTTCTCAGGATATCAATACAGCATATGTTCCTGTGAAGAACAGTACTTTTTGACAAAAAAATTCTATCAGTACTTAGAAGTCACCTGTAAATGCTAACAGAACCTTCTGTGGGAATAGAAGTAATCTTGTAGATGTGTCTCACCGTATGTGTGTTTGGACAGAGATTATCGTAAGTTGAGAGGTTACTTCTAAGTGTATTTCATGTATATTTGTACTGTTTGGTGTAGCGTAATATGAGTTATGTGGACTCAATATATAAAAAATATCCCAACTGTATTAATATTGTGATACTGTCTGCTTGACTAACAAACGTAGGTGGTTGTCATGATTATTGCATGTGCAGTGCAGTGAAGTGGAGAAGGCAATCACTCGTTTAAATTACCTCGCTGTTTCACTCATTGAGTTAACTGAGTGTGTGGTATGATTATACACATGGATTGTGTTCACTCTGAGAAGTGATTCTAGTTAGCTGTGTTGTCATCAGTCTACTGTATGTCATGATTCAGTAGTAACAGTTCCATCAGTGAACGCATTCAAAGAGAAACTGGATGTCTGCAGAGATATATATCGCAATAATTAACGTAGGCAATAAGAGACTTCTATCCTTATAATCTGAATCTATCATTCCCACAGACACTGTAAACTTAATACTGCAAAAGTTTTGATCACCAGTAGTGGAGATGAATTACTGCTGAAATTTCCATTTACATAAAGCACTACAGATGTATTGTCACGATTGAATGCCTAGTTTGTATTATACGGTATTGTTATCCTCATCAACACAACAGGTCTGCGTATCTAGCAATATTTTGAGTGTTTCTCTATGTTGCCAACGCTATGCATATCTATTTAGAGTTGATGCATGTTCAGCTTATATTTGATGGCTATAGTTTCCTAAATATGAGAATGTAATTTCTGTAGGATTCATAAAACTCTGTCCACTAGACGTTACCGAGATTTCGGACCAATTTCTAAGTTATACATTTGCAATACTTCATTCGGTACAAATGTATTTAGTGTGAAGTTGATCTGCAGGTAATCTTAATAAGAGAAAGATGCCTCAACAATATGGATGTTTCAGATGTTGTCTTGAAATTTGCATATAATCCTCCAATACTGGAAAACATAAGTGGTCTATTGATGCATACGGTGTCAATGTAAAAGCCAGCTGTGGACCACAAATGCATTTTTTTGCATGAGGTATTACTTACTATTCACAGAATCAGTGTATTCATAGTGTGTGCTAATATGTAGAATTATCTTTTATAACTTCATGTTATGCTAGCCCTTACATGTGCTTTATTTTTTTCAGGTATACGGAGGTTGTCGAATATGAAATCAGCGGAAATATCATTTAGTCAAACTAATTCTAATTTTCTTTTGTAATTTAATGAAATGTTTAATATACTCTTCATTTATACTTCCTCTTGACTTTTTCAGTGAGTTGCTACACTATATGCTTTTGTAATAAGTGAATTCAGATTAATGCATGTTAAGCTTAGTTAGCGGAATGAAGATTTACCATAGATTTATGAGATCGTTACTTTAGTCAGTCGTGAGATTTTGTGTCTGTTTCTATACAGTAGCACAGTGTGAAAACTAAGTAGGATTTAGCAAGTTGAATAATAATTCTACACTGTTCGATACGCTAAAGTCGCCTTATCTAGCCTGTTGCAAGTGTGTATAGCGCTAAACGCCAAGTATGCACAACAAGTAAATGCAGTAGCTTTAGCTTGATAGCTGCTTCATTAATCTGTTAATATGCAGTGACATCATCAAATGGACTGTTTACTTGAAAATGAGCTAAAAAACAATTCTTATTTATTTCTAATATGACGTTCAGTCATGTGACTCAAATCTGCTTTATGGATATTAAATAACTTACGCCTTTATCCATTTGATTATCTCCAGTATAACAACAGTTTTCCTTACTCATATGATGTGTGCACACTAAGCAAGTCCTTCACATATACTCCCATAAATGCCAAGCTTTCTAGTGTCACAAGTGCTAGTCACTGGATATGATGGAGGGGACATATGAGAACCACCCTTATCTGTGGGACAGCACTCTATTGCTAAGGCCCCTGAGTTCGAATGGCTTCTGCAAAATAAGAAAACAAATAAAATTTAAAAAAAAACAGAAGTTGAAAATTTGCCTAAAGCTAAAGTTTAAATAACAAACTCCCCGAATGCAAGTACATGGTATGAGTCCCCTACTTCAGAAGGACACCTAAATGTAGACTTCAGAAAAACAGTAGTCATTATTGAGCCCTCGCTTTTCTTCTGCATAGTTCACGCACTTTGACTTTTGTGTTTAACTCCTATTTAACCTATATAAGCAGGTAAAATTATCACCTTTTTTCACTTAAAATTATTTTTTTCGCAAGAAAGGCTAGAATTCCATTACTAAAACCCCAGGGAGAAATAATACTCTTTAATGGAAGAAAACAATAAAAAATGATGAACCCCATGTTTGTTATATATGTTTTGAATTATTAACACCTATTATATACTTCTGCACCTCTCTGGCGGTTTTCTTGTGTCTTCTTGTCTTTTCAAAGGTACTGCCTTAAACGAAGGCACTGAAAAAGTGCCGCTATCCTCAACTAATTCGGAATATTGCTAGCCCACCTGGTGAATAACGGAACCACCTCTATCATGAAATCTGCTGACAAGTTCAAAGTTGGTCTCATATACAACTTGAAATGTCACAATTATGGTGTACTTACCGGTGACTTTGAAGTTTTATGGACTTTCAAACACTTTGTGAATCATATACTTACAATCACTGTTCATTCTGCATCTCTTATATTTCACGTCAGCACCTGTACAAAAAACGCTACCTAGCTTCCACAATTAACGTAATCGTTCCACAACTGGCGGCCTGCTTGAACATAGGGCTACCAAAAATTCCACCTTACAACATTTTGCAAAATTTCTTTGGTTTGCTATTTTAATTTTGTTTTAATTTACCAATAATGTGTCCCAATCGTATTATTTATAATCGCGCATTTTTAAAATCATTACAACCTACTGCGTTGTGTCATCCACAAAAATTGAGAAAAGAGCATCACTGTGGATGGCAGCGTGCACTGAAACCTACACAAATTAATCAAATGACTGTTCCTGAACTCGCTAGCACTAATTGTAGATCCCTGTCCAACAAAATGGACCATCTTCAATCCCTAATGCATTCTAATGTTTATCGAAATGCTGGCGTTTTAGCAATACAAGAGACTTGGCTGCACCAGCATTATGATGATAATCTAGTTTCAATAAATGGATATAAAGTTTTTCGCCAAGATAGAAAAAGTTCTAAGAAAAAAATGTGGAGGAGGGTGTGGCGGCCTAAAAACATATCAAATTATATGTTCACGTAAAAATAAGGAATTCAACCTTGAACCTTGAACCGCGCGCAAGGAAGGAATCGGTTGCTCTCTCTCTGGCCGCTCGCTCAGCACATCTGCCGACCAACTCTGCCTCGCACTTGTTGACACATCCCCATCAAGAGCTTTGCTCCTATCTACTTTACTCTACGCGGAGACTTCCGACGGTTGACAGCTCTAAGGTGTAGTGGAGGATTTATATAACCAAGAAAAGGACAATTACATTCCTACAATTTCGTACGTCTATAATTTGTGTATTTTGTGACTATTATAGTTTTCCTTCAAATAACCTCAGTCCTTTTTATGTATATTAACTTAAGTGAACTGAATATCTTATATATACGTATTTGTTAGTACCTGTTCTGTCCTTTTAATTGTGCGTATATACTTACCTAGCTGCTAGGTCAACTACACTTAATTGGTGAGCCCGTTTTCGAACACGGATTATTTTTACGTATCTATATACTTATTTTTGCTATTTTGTACTTTCATTGCAAGTTTTTGTTGGTGGTCTCATATTTGTATTCCCCTTTGTATCAATATTCTCACACCTATAATGTCGTCACCAATACTCGCCGCCATTGCAGACTTAGCGACAAGGATTGACAAGTTGGAAACACATAGATCTGATCGACGAGTCGAGAGGCGGAGTTCACAAGCCCGGTCACAATCACACAGACGATCTCTCTCCCGACAGCGGTCCCGCATGTCTTCTAGGGACAGTAGTATATGTTGGTATCATAGGAAGTTTGGACGTCATGCCCTGAAATGTGTCAAACCGCGCATCTTTAGTGAAGAGAATCAGGCTCAGGGAAACGTCTCAGCCAGACAGTGATGGCGACAGCTGTTACTGGCAACCATTCAAGTCGCCTTTTTTACGTGAAGTACAAAACCACAGGCACGTTATTCCTGGTAGACACAAGAGCCGAAGTTAGTGTAATACCTCCTTCAATCTCCAGGCGGTCTTCTAGCACAGCTGCAAAACTTTCACTTCGAGCAGCTAACCAAACTAGCATACGGACTAACGGTGAACAATCACTTATTTTGGATCTTGGTTTACGTCGTCGATTTCCATGGATATTCACAGTAGCTGATGTTAGTCATGCTATACTAGGTGCTGGTATTTTAAGTATTTTCAATCTGTTGGTTGATCTCAACAAGAAAAAGCTGATTGATAACTGCACCCAGCTTCAAGTCCACGGAATCATCCCAAACTACTCTGTTTATAACATATGCATCGAAAAGCCAGATGACTGCATGTTTTCTGCATTACTGCATC